ATCTTTCACCCATATGGTCGTGATATAAAGCTGAAAGAGTTAAAATGTAAGTCAGTCACCTTGTTGAAATGTCACTTTAAAATCGAGAAGGGATACTTATTGCCAGTTAAAAAATTCAAGAGCCGACAGCACGGAATAGAATAGATCTAGTCAGAGGTGCTTGAAATATTTTTCGAAGTGCCCACTTGTTGTTTGATCGAGTTTGTTTATGTTAGAGCTTAATCTAAATACACGTCTTACGTACATACGTAGGGAAGTCCATAGATTTTCTTATTTATTTTTATTTTTATCAAGCAATTGTTGAATTCCTTGTCATTTCTGGTCAAGTGTGTAACTTTTTCGTTATATCGAAAGATGGCAACGTAATGGAATGGAAACAATTCAGCGTGTAGGGCAGGGCGCAATATTCAAGATCTTTGGATATTCCTCCGTTAATAAAAAATCACACTAAATACAAAATTAGTACCTATCATCGCCGTGAATTAGGAATGTAAAAAATTGAAGGTTTTAATATTAACATCCAGTCAGTTATGACAAAATAACCAGAGTAGGTGGTTATTGGCAGTATCGTATAAAAGTAGAATCGTATAATTTCGCCCTCAACTTTCAATCCTATCTCTATATAACACTTCAAGCTTTTATGAACCTTATTATTATAATCGTGGGTCGCATTTAAATACTTTCGCACTTAATTAAATCCTAAAATATTCCTTTATAGTAAAAGAATGGGCAATACCATTTATATTTACACCTGACACTTTACACGCGGGCGTCAATAATTAAAAAATTGTGGCCGCTAATGAGAAGTGAAATGCGAATGATGACATCTTTTATTGCTAATCAGCGAACAGTGGAACAATGGTGATTATCATAAAATTGGCAAATTAAAGGAATTTTTTATTTGCCCAACTGCTTATATCTCCCCCTTATATTTTCCTAAGATTTTAGTCGCATTTAAATTCTGTATCATTTTACACTTCGTAATCTATTAGTGCTAGACATGTAGAGAGCGATCATGAGGGGTTAGTAGGTGAATTTAATAAGTAAACCAGTTAGGCAAATGGATAAAAGAGAAGTGGTGGACGTAGACACCCATGAGAATGCAAGGGATTCGCAGTAAGTTCGCCATTTTAGTTGTTACGTTTACTTGCATCTGCAGGAAGTTGTAGACTTATGGAAAAATTGGGATTTTAATGATGTCGTGTCACCTTTATTAAAGTACAAGTACCATGTTGTTTACAAATGATTTATAATAAATCGTCAACTAATTTTCTGAACTTCTGTAGGATTTGTATTTCATAATATTAAATTCAAAGAGGTTTTTCATCTTTTTTAACACCCTTGAAGGAAACGGCAATGAGTTGAATACAGAAATTGTGTTTATTCGAATCCATTGTGTAACCCGGATATGGTTTTCATGTCAGATTTTTCTTTTAGTGCCCAAGAATTATGTCAGGCGTTAATGAAAGTTCGTGTAATTAATTATTTGGAATTTTCGGAAGTTGATCGAAGCTACTAAGCCTTGCAAATTATTCATTTAATGTCAACATTGAGATTTTGAGACAAGAGCCGGGCGTCTACGAGGAAAATAATTACAATTCTAAATTTAAAGGTTGTTTTGTTTTGAGCTAGCTGAACATTTGTTTTGTGGATGGCTTAGTGACCGCATGCCATTGCACACAGCAATAGTTTGTGAGGTAAATTTATCATGAACCTTTCCATGATCATCAGCTGACGAAATTATGAACTTACTGAAAATTTTGTTTTGCGTCAGTGACAAATACCAAATGTAGTAGGTGCTTGAAGCATGTACTGAATGCTTTTATTACCATCAACAAGTGTTGATTTCAACTTCAAATGCTGAATAAACTGCTGCAAACGCTAAATCGGCAAAAAAGTGGAAAACATTGTCTAGTATCTTGTGTGAACAAACTGATCTACAAATTAACGATAGAAAAAGAACACGCAATTTTAGTTCCAATGACTCCAGGGAATGTGTGTTGCCTTTTTCCCGACGAAATTGGTAGTTAAATGAACGTTTCACTCTACCAAGATAACCAAAGCGAGAGCAAGGCAAGAACATAAATTTCGTTCCTGATGTGGATAGAGGAGACAAATTACCACCCTAACCAATAACAAGGAAAGACAAAAATGCGCAATAATGTGGTTCTGATACTTTAATTCAAAGTGCTTTGCCGTTTCTGAACGGATCTTATAGAATAAAATGCATTTATTCTTGAAAAATTGAAATACTTTTTCCTCGCGATTTTCTGTATACTGTATACTGTTTTAAAAAAGAGTCCAGGGTCATCATTTAACAATTAACAACCCCTACATATACAAGTAGGTACTGTTGTGTAAACTACATGGGGTGGCGTTTCTTTAGGTTGAAACCGAGGTTGAAACAATGGCCAAGATGAAAAGCGAGCCACCTTGTAGTGTAAAAATACGTGTTGGTGACGGAATTTCAGTGTGAATATCGGAAGTAGCAGTCAGGACAGCCTTTATGTAACATAATTCTCGGGAATTTTGTTGAATTTGTTGAATTATCATTTAAATATCAGTTTTTTTTTTGTAAATTTAGCAGATAATTGGTGAATTCATTTAATTTGAAATTTGATTTGTTGCATTTAGTTTGTATGATAAATTTCAAACGGGTAACTAAGGTAACATTTAATTGAAGTTTTTAAGTGAGTTTCTGGTTTTAACTGGTCAGGTGTTATTGGAGTATTGGAGTTAATTGGTTTTTCGACAAACAATGTCACGTGCGAGATAAGCGATGCGGGTGTTTTATTAGCTTTGGCGATGGAAATGGAGCGTAAGTGTCTGTGACGTGATTTTGATACCAGTAGTGCAATTTTACAAAAGGAAACGCATTCGTCCTCCGTTTTACCGTTTTCGTTTTTACGCATGGAATTTCGAGTTTAAAAAGTTTGTGTTATCAAGAATGAAGAAATAATTGGTATAATACAAGAGAAGTCTTTCCATCCGAGCAGTCACAATGCTAAGTGCTATTATCTTCGATCCCGTGTGTTTCGCCGAACATCTTATATTTCTTGTTTTGCCCAGTTTGTTGGATCATTCTCAACAGAAGGGTGAGTAATTTTTGAGATCTCTTAATTTGTTTTCAGATCGAGCGTTTGCAAACGGGGCGTGTTGTATTCAAAAGGCACTGTTAGCCTTAACTTTTTTCATACAGAATTCTTTTGTATTTCATTTTCATTTTATATTGTATCTTGTAATTTTTTTACTTAATTATGTGTCAATTTGAACCCCAATTTGAAATCCACGTAGAACTTTATTTTTCTGCCAGATTTTTCTAATTTCTTTTCATCCGAATGTTTTTCCGATTTTATTCAAAATTTGAGTAGTGATTTCGTTGGAATCGTTACGGAATGTGATTGAGGCTTTCGAGTCTTTCAAGTTTATAAGAGTTTTAATAAGTCAATGTTAGGATTTTCTTGTCGTGTCGAAACTTAACTGTGCCCAGCGGGAGATATTAAAAAGAAAAAACCCACTTTTTACGGAAATACACGTTTTAAAGCACCAAAAATCCAAATCAAACAAATTCTCGATTATGTCGATCGGTGTGTCGGTCTGTCTGTCTGTCGGTCTATACTCGCATTTTCGGCTAAACGGCTGAACCGATTGGAACCAAATTTGATAAACATATTCTTTAGACATATATGAGCAGTATCGCGCATTGCGGGTGGTATCTGTGCCGCGCACAGCAAATTTTTTTCATTACGCACGGGTGTAGGTAATGGGTACTATATCATGCTTCTGAATTATACGTTATGACCTCATTTTCAGAGAGGTCGTAAAGATTTTACGCTGATCCTTTTCCAGATAGAATTGCATCCAATCGTAATCCAATCCAATCCAATCATAAGTAGGTATCCATAATTATTAGCTTTCTTAAAAAGAACAAACGAAGACTGTAACCCGAAGAAATCCACCGTGGATGGGTAGATGAACTTTTAAGCAATAAACATGTCAAAATTTCACCAAATGTCAACGTTTTATCATCATTTTAAGCAAAGTTTAAAAAATAAAATTTTTTCCGTCTGTATGTATGTCGTGCGTACGTTGGTAATTTTTCGAGAAAACCGCTCGATGGATTTTCTTCAAATTTGGATATGTATATTAGGGGTACGGAAACGAAAAATGTCGAGCCGGGTTTTTGTAAAAAAATTTGAGCGCCACAACGGCATCCAACTTTTTCTTTTCAAATTGAAAGGATTATTCAAAAGAGTTTCTTTTTCTGTGTGCAACCTATAAAAATTATTTTAGGTTTTATATATAAAAAAATAGAGAAAATAAATGTTACCTAAAAAAAATTTAAATATTTTTTAAGCAAAACCGTTCTTTTGGCAGTGTACATTAGGCATAAAGGATGTAAAACTGTCAAAACCGTTTTTTTAAAATAAAGGTATTTGAGTTTTTAGCGCCGTGATGTTTTACAACTTTTTTTGTTCAAATAGCAATCCCATATTGGAAAT